GTAACTGTGTAAATGAGCAAGGAGAGATCCACAGAACTTCCCAGTTGAATTCAGCCCAATTCACCAAGCCACAGAATTGTGATCTAATAAATGATTGTTGAGGTAAAGGCTAACTAATATGTAATAAAATCCATCTAACCAAATAAAAATGAAGTAAGAAATAAAGAATCAGTGAAGAGCAAATACAGTAAATATTGAAATTAAGGCAAACCATTAAAGAAATGATGGATAAAATAAAAAATAAATATATAAAGCCTGACAGAGTAAAAAAAAAATCATATAAGGAAAACTTAGAAGTCTGAGAAAGAGATAGCAGAGAGTGAGTGTGTTAATTATCTTCAGTGGCAGGGAACTCAGTACTAACCAATGTTGAAACATATAGTTTGAAGGTATTCTGTCCTACTAATGATTTTTATAATTTTGTTTAATCGTTGAAAAGTCTTTTATGAATCACTTTTTCCTGTGAAGTAACATGCATCTGAGCAGTTTCTCCAATATTTTTTTTTGCTCAATTTGAGTAAAAATAAATTTGACACTGTATTTTTAAAATAGCATTTGCAGAAGAAGCCTATGAATACTAATGTCACCTCATGTATCTTTTTATCCATCCTTCTATCCATATTTGTATAATAACGCTATTCACCAAACATGGACAATTTAATTTCTGTGATAGTAAAATCAAGATAATTTGAACTTTTCTGTATTTCTGGAACTTTTTATAAAGGATTTATATAATTTTTATAAAGATAACAGTTGTAAAATGAGTTTATAAGAAGTTTCACAAACTGTCTCAGTGGGAAGGAGGCATTTGCTTCAGGAATATTCAAATGGCATTATGCTCTTGGATGTGATCTGTCTAAATTGCTGGTTCTCAATTATGGCTGCACATTATAACCACTGAAGAGCTTTTTAAAAATCCCAATGTCTAGGCTTCAGCCCAGACCCATTAAACAAAAATCTCAGGGGGTTGGGCCTGGGAATTGATAGGTCTTAAATGTTCCCCAGGTGATTTAGATGTGCAACTCTGGCTGAGAATAACTTGACTCAACAGGCCACAGAGACACATTCCCAAGATGTAAGGCTTATGACTGGAAAGCCAGAATACTCCATTCTGTCACTCCTCCACCCCAAAGGAGGATCTGCATCAGGACCAGTTAGTGGTAAGGAAGAAAGAGAGAACAAATAACTACTTAGGTTACTAGTAGTCTCTGCCTCAGCCACAACCTGATTTCTCTTGGATAAGATGCCTGTCAGCAGGAACTGAGGCAACATGTGTTCATGTTTACATCCAGGAGAGAGAGAAAGATGGGCTTTCTTTCCCCAGAGGCTCCAAGTTGGCACCTCTTTGTGCCTCAGTGATTCAAAATGGATATGGCACACCCATTACAGAACTGATTTCTAGCAAGCGTGACGGGACTATTGTAATTGGCTTACTAAAGCTTCTCAAACTTTATTGTGTATAGGTATTGCCTAGGAATCTTGTTAAAATGCAGATTCTGATTCAGTGAGTCTGGCAAGGGGCCAAGATTCCCATTTCTAACAAGCTCCCAGGTGATTAGAATGGCTGTTGAGGTGTCAATTACAATGTCCACCTTAACTACCAAGCACACAGGATATTAATATTAGCCGAGGAGTACATTCTTTCTTTGTAGGTAAATCTAAATAGAAGCCAATTATAATCAGAAGTGCTTAATGAGCATGGCAGATTGCAAAGCATATGTGAAGGCACAGAAGCAAAAAACTGCTTGCAGAGGGAATCATGAGCTACAGAGATAGGGACAAGCAGAGTCAGATCAATAAAGGGCTGGGCTTTAATCTGTGTCCTACAGAAAACAAAACCATGAGATTCTCTGAAAAGGAGTCTTCTAGGGTCAAATTTGGTTGGGAAGTTGCATACTATGTCCTTCACTTGGATATTTAGAAGGCCTATTTTGATTTTAAAGGTGCTAAGAGTCTACCTGCAGTAAAGAAACCTTTCTCAAATAGATAATACTTCATTGGCAGAACAGGCTATTATCAAATTTCAGTGCAAAATGAAAATGAAGGGCTGCTTTTCCAAAAACCATTAAGACTTTGGGGATGTGAAAGAGCATTAAATCAATTATAGAAGGAACCCTTCTAATTGAGGCCTTGTGCAAATACCTATAGCCAGCCTTGCTTTTGGGGATACTGGCAGCATTAAATGACAAGTATCTGCATGCTCTAAGCATCAAATAAATAATAACTATGATGCACAGAATGGCTTTCAGCTAGAACTCTTGGTTGTAGCAGAAACCCACTTTATCAAGCTTTAGCAAAAAAGCAGAATTTGTTATAAGGATCCAGTCATGTTTTCAGATTCCAAATGCAGAGGCAGCCAATCAGGCAGAGGAACAAGTAGAAGTGAAACATTATCAGGACTCTATTATTCTCTCTCAATTCCACTCTTCTCTACAGGTTCTCTACTTATATGGTGGGGCAAGTTAGTCTAAAAGATCCCAGATTCAAGTGACTTCCTAAGTGATATTGGGGGTCTCTTGGTCCCAATTCCATATTCTAAGGGATAGCCTCTGATTGGTCTATGTATTTCCACCCATATTAAACAACTGTATGTAGACTCTTCTGCTTTAGCAGCCCAATGGAAAGGGAAGAAGGCAGTCAAAATGTATATGTCCCAGAACCTCCCACACTCATTTGATGACAGGACAGCTTTTTCTTTTCCATTATTGGGGACTGAACTCAGGGGTGCTCTATCATGGAGCTACACCCCTATCCCTTTTAATTTTTTCTCTTGATAGGGTCTTGCTAAGCTGCAGAAGCTGGCTTTGAATTTGTGGTCCTCTGGTCTCAGTCTCCCGAGACACTGGGGTTACAGTAGTGTGCCATTGTGCCTGGTTGTGGGGCATTTCTTAAAACAACATCTATCACAATGAACAGAGCACACATGGGAAATGTTAGTGCAGATGTTAGGAGATGAAATGCTTGAAGGAGGTAGTGCCATGAAATGGATTTGCATATTTACATGGCAGTGAGCAGATCTGATTGGAGGGAGTGAGACCAGAGACAGGAAGGCTGATTACAGGCCCACTACAGAAATTCAGACCTGGGAAAGAAACTTCTATCAGTGGGAAGACTGAGGAAGACACTGTCTCTACAGAAATATTTAGGAAGTAAAAATCTGCAAGGTTTGGCAAAGTTATTTGTGTGGAGAGTGGGGGAATAAGAGGAAGAAATAAGGCAGGTTCTGAGGAGTGATTTGGGGGATGAGTAGGTGAAGATAGTGCAAGAGTTGGGCTTAAGGGATGGGTGTAACTTTAGTTCTTAATGTGTTTTGTGACAGGAAGAAATGGTTAAATGGAAACATCTAGAAGCCTGAAATTCAGGCTGGAGGTGAAGACTTGAGATGATGTTATGCTTTGCATGGGTCTCCAATTTCGTGTGTTAGAAACTTAATCCCCAAAGCAACAGGGTTGGGGAAGGCCTAATGATAGGTAATCAGGTCATAAGTGCCCTGTCCTCATGAAAGGATTAATGTCATTATCAAGGGTGTGTGTATTATCTAGAGAATGGGTTGTTATAAAAGCAGTTCAGTTCCCATTCTCTCTTGGCCTTTGGTATTCTACCATAGGATGCCACAGCTCGAAGGCCCTTGTCAAATGGCAACAACTTAGTATTGGACTTCCCAGCCTTCAGAATTGTGAGAAATTTTTTTTTTTTTTACAAATTAGTCAGTCTGGCATTCTGTTAAAGCAACACAAAACGAAGACAGATGGATTTTGATGTCAGTCATTTCTTATTAAAAAATCTAAGCGGCACTAGGGGACATAACATGGAACAAAATGCACATGGCGTTTGCCCTGGTGGAGCTTAAAGTTGCCTGGTGAAAACTGTACATTAAGCAAGGTAATTACAAGGCCCTGGATATTTATGAAGTACAGAATGTCAGTCGGGAACTGTGCAAACCGTAGAGAACAAGCTCCATACGTGCGTGCCCATGCCCCTGATCTCCCACATTACAGTTGTGACAAGGAGTGAGCACAAGTTGGGTCCAAACCGTTAAGTAATCACTTCTCTGCAGATTCTAAGCCAGAAGGGCTACGCCTCACCAGGGCAGGTTTGGAGTCTCCAACTAGCCCATAAACTGGGAAGGAGAATGCATTCAATCTGTGGTGAATATACAGCTCAAGTAAGAACCAGTGAACAAGCTGGAGACCCCTGTTACCTTTGTACTTAAACTGGTCAAACACATGGGGCCCACAATTTGTTCAGAGATGGATCCGCTTGCTCAGGGAGCAGCCACCAGGAGAGTCACAGTTCACTTACACGGGTGCAATTTTCAACCCACATGCATCTCCAACATCTGGGTGGAGGGAGAGGTAAAGGGTCAAAACTAAAGCCTTATATTAACGTCCAGCTTTTGTGGGAACCAGCATCCCCAAGGCGAAATCGCAGTAGCCCCGAGTTGGGGGCGTGAGCGCCGACACCTACGGCAGTTGGGGGAGAACAATGAACTACAGGGGAGGCAGCTGAGGGTGAGCGAATTCGGAAATCCAGGCCCCACGCGAGCAGACAGCGGAACACAGCGTTCCGAAACTCCACGCCTGCACCGTCCGCGTGGCCCCACTGGGAGTCGCGGCTGGGCACAGGAAAGCGCTAGTAGCCAAGGCCCAGACTTAACCGCGAGCCCGCAGGTGGAGGGCGGGGGAGCGCGCGAGCGTGAGCGTGCGCACGCGCAGAGCTGCCGTCGGCCCGCGCCCGGAGCGCGGGAGAAGAGACGCAGACCTCAGAGAGGAGCCGCGCCTCGGTGAGTGCTCCCCCTCCCCTTTCTCCCGGAGTGCCTTGCGCACGCCCGGTGGGCGGGGGGGAGGGAAGGCGGCGGTGGCAGCCATGTTGTTGTGAGTCTCTGTGTCTCACCCTCGGTACTTCGGTGGTTCGGAGGAGGAGGAGGGGGAGGAGAAGGAGGAGGTGGGGTGGGGGGGAGGGAGGTAGGAGGAGAAAGAAGACATTGCCGCCACCGAAGGCGGAGGAGGGGGAGGACGGCCAAGAGCGACGCCGCCGGTGCCCAACGGTCGGTGTTCCCGGCTGAGGCAGCGCGGCCGCAGCAGCCCTGTAAGTCAGCCCGCGCGTGCTTCCTCGCTCGTCCTTCGGCGCCGCGGGGGCTGGCTCCGGGCTTTGTGTGGCGGCCTCGGCGGGAGCAGGTCGCCGGCGGGAGGGCGGACGGGGCCTGCGGGCGCCCGTGCGGACGGCGGCCTGGGCCCGCTCGCACAATGCAGGGGGAGGGGATCCGGAAGGGGGTGTGCGCGGCGCGGCCCTCCCGCCGCCTCCCCCGCGCCTCCGCCGGCCGGGCCCAGGGCCGCCACCGCTTCTCGCTCGGCTCCCGCGCGTCGGGGGCCGGAGACCCAGAGTCTGCCCGCCGCCCGCCCCGGCGCTCGGGGCTCGGAGAGTTGGGGGGAGGCTGGGTGAATCGCGAGCAGAGTGCGAGGTGGAAGTGAAGAGGAAGAAGTGGGTTCGTGAAAACAAGTGTGGGGATCCTCGAGGGCCCCGCCGTCCAGGAGGAGCTTGGGGCAGACCGATGTGGGTATGAAAGAAACAGTGACTCGGGTTCGTGTTGTTTAGGTGCCATTCGTAAGGAATGTTCTGTTTTGTTCGAGGAACAGATTTCCATACTCAGAAAAATATGTAAATCAAAACCAAAGGCAAGGTAAGCGGCTTCAGGTACTTGAGCAGTAGTTTTGTGTCTGAATGGGGTCAAATTTGGGGGGAATCCATTGTGAAAAGTTATGGCCACACACGTGCAGGTTGGTGTTACTTCTGAGAACACAGCGGGAGAAAACCCACTTTTCTTAGCTTTACATTCTAATGTTTAAACTTTTGGGGGAAGGGCATGAGTCGCCGACATGTTAGGTGCAATAAGACAAATCACCTCGAGACTTGGTACTTTGAGCTTTATTACTTAAGAAAACTAGTGGCGGAATTTTTTTGATTAAAAGACTTTAAGGAAAACGCTTAAGAGAAATATAATACCAGTAAAGATATTGTATGTCAAGAAAGCAATTTTAATAATAAAGAACTACCCTTAGAATTTTCAGGGCTTGTTCCTTGCTTAGGTTTGTGTTGCATAGGTGACTCTTCACCATGTGACCAGGAGTGTTAGTGTATGGTTGAAGAAATTGTGGCCAGGAATCCTGTTAAAAATAGAATGATGAATATTTTTAATTGGTTAATAAGTTTTTGTTTTTATTCACTTAGTATCCATTCTGCTTTTTAAAACGATTTACTTCATTAGTAAATAATTGATGGTATTTCCCTCGTGTCAAGACTGTCTTTCAAATTCCAATATTTGATGAAATTAAGTTGTGTAGATCTATCCAGTTTTGTTTTTGGTTTGGTGTTTTTGAGGGCAGTTATTTAATACACCAAAAAAGTTACACTAAAATTAAAGTTATATGTCAGAAACCTTCATAGACTAAGTTCAGGTTTTTTTTCCTTCTAAGTTTTCTTATTATTGGGTTCCTGTATAAGTCTAGCTATTTTTACCTTCCAGGTAGATTTGCCATTAACAAATTTAAATCCCCTAACAATTTTAGTGGTTTAGTTTTAACATAGTCTCCTTAATTTGTCTAGAGTTCACAATTCCCTTAAATATTTCAATGTTCAGTGAGATTTCAAAGTTCTTTTTAAAGAATCCAAGAATTAAATACATTTAAATTGATTTTTACAAGGCTGAATTTTCTTAGGCATTACAAATGTATACAATTCAGTCAACACAGATATTGATATTTGAATTTTGTTTTTCTTAAATTTTCCAAACTTGTTTACAAATCTTTCTGATGGTTAAAGATAATTTATCTCCCTGAATATGCACTTATCCAAGTTAGCAAAAGTATTTATGAGCAGAAATTTGGGCCAGGTGGTGACATTCAGAGCCAATCTTTGTGATCAGACAGCCAGCCTCCTTTATGCTTTCCTGGTGCTGGAAATAGAAGGAACCCAGGGCCTTGCACATGCTGGGCCAGAGCTCTTCCACTGAGCTACATCCCAACTCTGCCTCCTTTTTAAAATTAAGAAGTCACTGACAAAGTCTTCATAATTTTAAGTGGAGGTTGGTTCCTATCTGCTGAACTCAGGTTTATGTATTTTGTGGTTTAAAGATTTTGTTGAGTTTCGAGGATATGAAAATATTCTGTATTTTTTCATATTAAAATTAATGAGTACAACTAAGTTAAACAGAATTTTTTAAAAAAATAATAAACTACAGTATCTGAATATTCAAATCTCACATGGCTTTGTTTGACTTGAATTCACAGCTTGAGGCCATTTTGCTAACAGGTGTGATTAAGATAAAAATTGTACTTCTATCTGGGCAAATTGATTTGTGACCTATTAAATAGGTTTCTTGCTGTTTATAAAAAGGCATAACAAGTCTAACTTGCCTCCTATTATCCTTCCTTTTCATTCTTCCATTTGGTGAATTTTTAAGAGGGAACTGATCCAGTATGACTGAGGCCCTTCCTCCCTTTCTTTTTGGGAGCCTGCCCCTGCAGAAAACTTTGTTTTGCCTCTTCCTGTAGCCACAAGGGATAGACTCCCTTTTTTGTAGAGGAGACTACAGTAGTTGTCCAGTGCTACTCATGACTGGATTAGAATAATTAGGGGACATGATGTTAGGAAACCCACTTGGTGTATACCTAATTTAAGCCTTCCATTGTGGCTCTATCTGGAGTAAAGGAGATGCTTGCATTACCCTCAGTCTTTTTGTCTTTTACTCAGTTCTGAATTCTGGTTTGGTAGAAAAAATGTTTCCTCGAATCCTATTATTCAGAAGCTAATATTTTAATAGTGATTTTTATCTCTGACAGTATATAGACAGAAAACAGTTTTCATTAAAAACTTTGTGCTTTGTATGTTGAAAAGTGCATTTATGGAGAGAGATTTTTTCAAGCTTTTACAGTAAATGAAGCACTAGATGAAGGTGTATGATAAATGAATTTTCTTAAGAGTTTTAGATAGCATTATGTTTAGAGACACAGTTAATAGTTTTTAAGTGATTTTTTTGCCCTTCCAATAAGTCAAAAGATCAAACTTCTTTATAAGTGAAAAATTAACATTTGGCATAATTAACAAGTATCACCTAGAGAGTGATTTTAATTCTTAGTGGAATTGTAGATAACATTTATCTTTCATTGACCTTTTTTTTTTTAATGGAAAGTTTTGTTTGATTCTTGGCGGATTCATTTTTATATTTTGCTGTGTTTTAAAGAATTTAAAATGATTGGTCATTCAAGCATGTTGGCAAGAGGATTGTTTTCACTCTGCATATTTAGCTACTGTAATCCTACTGATTTTCAGGTTACATATCTCTGGTTTTCACTTAAATTCTTTATTCTATCACGTGTGGAAGGACATAAGACGTGAGTACTAAGAAACATCCACATATGCACACATTATATCTCCAAATACAAAAAAAGAAAGTAATATGAAATGATAAAGGAAAAGAGGAATAGTTGACAAGTCAGTGTTTTGATTTAATGCAAATAAGACAGGGGTAGAGAAAATCATTATCTATCTACTTGACAGAATATATATTTGAAACGGTAGCCTTGAAAAAAGTTGGTGGGCTTGGCTATACAATGGTACTAAAAACTATCTAGTTAATAATATCTAGGAAAATAGAATGTTAACACTCAACATCTACAATGTGTGGTGGAATGGGAAAGAAAGGAAGGATTGTGTGTGAGTATATATATATATTCATTCCTGAAAACACCAATAAATATGTAGAGGACTTGGTTTGAGAATAGATCTTTGTGATTTCTATTTTAGTGGTAGACATTTGAAGAATACGAATTCTAGATTTTAATCTGATTTTTGATTTTAGGCATTGTTTCGAAAGACTTATTAGGGATCAATGAGATTGTTTTAACTATGCACAATTTTTTATCCATTTAAATGTTAAAAAAAAAGTAAATGAGCAGTAGAGACCTTTACTAGGCAGTCAAATGAAGCAAATTGTAGGTAGAGAAAATATGGTCTGTTTTGGATTTTGTTAACCACCAGAGAAACTATATACAGAAAAGGAGATAACTTGAATATCTCCATAGTATTTTACCAGAACTGTCTGTGTAATTAAATGGAAAGCATTTAAGTTTTCTGTAATAAAACTCAAAAAAATCTTTAACACCAATTCAACATGAACCAGTTTAGTTTTGACATTAAGAGAGGGATGATGGTTCCAGGTTTTACCTGTTTCTTTTTGTTTTTCTTATTCATCATCTTTTTTTTTTTTTTTGTACCAGGGATTGAACCCAGGGGCACTTATCCACAAATCCACATTCCTAGGCTGCCCTCCCACCCGCCCCTTGTTTTTAAATTTTGAGACAGGCCTTTCCTTCCTAGGTTGCTTTAAGACCTTGCTAAGTTACTAAGGCTGGCCTCAGCCTCCCAAGTTACTGGGATTATAGGTGTGGGCCTCCATGCCCAGTTCTTTTAATTTCTAAATTACATGATTTTTACATCAGCAAAAATAGAAGTACTCTAGGCTCTCACTAAAGATACATGGCCATTTTTTAAATTATAATTCTTACGGAGGAAATATTCATGGAGTATTGTTTGAAGAACATTCCAGTATATTTTTTAGTCTGAATATTGTTAAGTTGTATCTCTCCATCGGGACGGACTACCGAAACCTGCACACATTTTTAAGGTTGTAGGCCTATCTTGTGCCAGATTTTCCTTGGGTTTTGGTGATAATATGGTCCTTGACCTTGAGGAATTCACAGTAAAGTGTAGAGAAAGAATTTAGCTTTTAATTATAGTGCAGTACACTACCATTATATCTACACATTATATCTCCAAATACAAAAAAAGAAAGTAATATAAAATGTGAAAGGAAAAGAGGATTAGATTAGGTGACAAGTCAGTGTTGTGATTTAATGTAAATAAAGACGGGGGTAAAGAAAATCATTATCATCTACTTGATAGAATAAATGTTTGAAACACAGTAGCCTTGAAAAAATTTACCACGGAGGTGATGTTACAAAGGTGCTGTTCTCTTTTTTTTTTTTTTTTTTAAAGAGAGTGAGAGAGAATTTCTTTTTTAATATTTATTT